ACCTCATGGTGGAACAGCCCCTGTCATCGCTTATGCCTTGGTTCCCGTATCTATTTATGCTGGCCCACCGCATGCGAATGTGGCAGCGAGTGTCATTGTGCCTGTCCTGAATGCTTAACACTCGGAGGTACTTGGGTGCTTGGAACCCCAATTCGATCAAGTCTATATATATATATATAATATTTCTTTTTACCCTCGGATTTTTTTTTTTCAAGTGCAAGGCAAGCGGTGTTTGCCCATCAACCAAAGCAGCATCAGCGAACTTGTCTTGTAGGTTTGGTAATCTGTTGCCAGAGATGTCTATCTTGAGCGACTGGGTTGATTCGTCTGAAGAGCCTAGTGTTGTCCATACCGGGGAGACTGCTCGCGGAATGCATCTGTTTCACCAACTGTTGCGACGGGATACTCCAGTAGGGGTGGTGAATCTCAGCCACTGCCGGGGTCTTATCCGTATCTGCATGTTGTAGCCGCATATACGCTTCGGTCATAGCAACTTCCGCCCAGTGCAAGCTGGGCCGACCCGATCTGTTCCCTCCGCTGATGAAGCGATACGCTTTCGACTGCATAAAAGTACTGGTCGCCTCATATGTATCAGGGTGACGGAGAATGTGGCCAAGAAGCTTTAGCCTGTTAAAAGAGAACTGCTGCGACGGAGTGGGAAGTACTGTGAAGGCATTTGCACGTTCCGACAAGTATTCATTGGAACAAGGAGCCTCCGACGGTTGTAAAACCCGATGATAATAAGAAGACTTCACACGAAAAATCCTACGCAAATTTTTAAAGTGAAGAGAGTCAACTCTGCCTTGCTGAGAGGGTGCAGGACAACATGATTCCATGCCATATGCCAAAATTGACAGAATGATAGACTTGTACACGGTGAGCTTCCATTTTGTCGGGAGGCCAGCATGCGTGAAGAAAGGCTTTAGCAGCTTGGAAGCGTGTACTGCCCTGGAAATCCTTTTACTGGTGGTACTCCTACTGTTGCAGGTAGCATCAAGAAATATGCCTAAATATTTCACCTCCTCCGCTAGCGGAACGTACTCTGTCGCTGCACGGCGCCCGCCGTTGCAACAACTGCAGCTACAATCGGCGCCCGGATCGGGGGCATAAGAAACGCGGTTTTCCGAGTGAAGCTGCAAGTGCTTGCATTTATCGAGATTGAGCTGCAGACCAAACTGCAAAGCATGATGCTGTAAAAGATGCAGAAGCCGCGTGAGTTGAAGAGATGAACGTGAGAGCAGAACTGTATCATCGGCATACTCGAGGTCCCAAAGGCGCGAAGGGATATTAAGAACACCTGTAAGTACCCCAAACTGGCGCTCGTAAGAACACTCGACATCGTGGAACAAGCACGTGAGCACAACATCAAAAAGATAAGGTGAGAGAGGACACCCCTGGCGCACGCCACGCGACTGCGAGCCCTGCTGCGATATGCAGCCCGAGTCACGAACTCGAAACTGCGGCGACTGGTAGATGGACATTACAGCCCGTACAAAGGGGTCAAGCCTCACCAAAGACTGCTCAATCGCAGCAAAAGAAAGAGAATCAAAGGCCTTGGACCAGTCCAGAAAAAGAACATGCAACGGCGAGACTTGCCGTTCGTGAGTTTCAATCAATCGTCGAAGAATATGTATAGGTTGCGCTGCTGAGCGGCCCCGCCTAAATCCAAACTGAGAATCCCGAATTCGTGGGTCAATGTAGAAAGCCAGACGTTTCTGTAATAAAGAGGCGTATATTTTGTAGAAACAATCGCTGAGTGAGACAGGCCTGTAGTTGTCAAGCGACAGTGTGTCTTTTTTCACATCCTTAACCAACATGACCACATTTGACAGGCGCCACGCGTCGGGGATAGAAGCAGAGGTGAGGCATTTATTGTAATGAGACAAAAGGAAAACACGGACTATATAAGGAGCCCTTTTGATGAGCTCTGCAGGAATTTCATCCGGTCCCGGAGCCTTCCCGGTTTGAAGCGCCTTGAGGCACTGGTAGAGGTCCTCTTCCGTGAACAACCGATAGATCTCAGGGATGACCGGATGGAGGGGCGGGCGCGGTTGGAAAACCTCTTCCCCACACTTCCAAACATGATTTGCGAGATATTCTCGAAAAACTTCCGCTCGTTGTTTGGTAGGCCGGAGTTTGCCACTCGTGTCCCGGATGCCTGGAGGTTTCGGCGTGAATCCACGCCGGAGGTTGCGGAGAGTTGTCCATTGAGTGGGCGTGCTCTCATAGTCTATGGAGAGCCGGGTATGAACAAAAGTCTTTTTATCCTTCCTGGCAGAAGCCTTGATACGTTTTCTGAAGGCCTTAACATCCTCCGGCGCGAGTCCCCCAGCATCGCGCAATTCGGCGATGAGTCCCAAAGTTGTTTTGGAAATCCATGGTTTGTGCGGAGTCAAAGGGAGGGCCGGAATAAGCTCCTTAGCTTCGGAAATTGCCTGACGCAAGAAAACGTTCTGCTCTTGTACCGATAATGAATCCCAGTTCGTCAGATCCAGATTGAACTCTGGGGGCCTGAGACTTCTGGAATGAGGTTGCGAAAAACGGCCTGTACGTCCTAGCGAAAAATTTCCCGAGTAGGCCACTCGGTCTGCATACTCATTCCCGGGTATGCCCACGTGTGAGGGGACCTTGTCCACATGAACGTTGAACGTAATGCGCATAGCGACCCAATACCTTTGGAGCCTGGAAATAAGTCTGTAGTGCGTAGCAGGCAGGGAGCGCGCACGTAAAATATCAAGAACGTACTGAGAGTCCGTGTAAACATGTATCCTTTGTCCCTCCGGAAAGCCCGAAAAGTACAACAAGTAATCGAAAAGCTCAATAAGCGCCTGAAGCTCAGCAGTATTGTTGGAAGATACCTCCGCCCCAGCGAACTCCGGGAAATCCGGGTTCGTTCTCACTTTGCCATGGGAAGTAATCCAATCCGAAGTTGGTTTGGGATGCAATGCAAAAGCGAGTAGAATGGGGGAGACCACAAACCCCCAACCCGCTGGGTTCGTCTGGGAGATCACCCTGTTATTGGGGCAAGAGCCATCTGTGTAAGCCAACACATGCCCTTCCACCGAAGCTACCGGATCGAAAGAATGGTTACATAAACTTAGAAGAGAAGACTCCAACTTGTCATAATACTGGGAGGTTTGAGTGTAGTCCGGCAACGGTGGGGTACTGGGCGGGGGTCGACGCGCCGGGAGAGCGACCCCAATGGAGCAAATTATGGGCAAGTGCCGAGAATTCACAGCTTGTTGAAAGTGACTTGAGATGTCTTCAACGGCAAAAACCGGCGCCAAGGCCGTGATAACATAGTCCAATGTGGTCCACTCTGAGACATTCGGGCGCTCCAAAAAATGGTCCGAGCATGTGGTTTCTTTGTACGTAACCCTACGCGCAGGACGATTTTGCATAAACGTTTGAGGGAGTTTCAAATCAAAACTCTGTAACACTTCCAGCAAGTGAATTGCATTATCTCGTTCTGAAGTGTCAATGGAAAGCCTCTTACCCCACACAGTAGGCCCTATGTGGACTCCAGTAGAGTCGAGCTGAGGGTCCAATCTAGAATTGAAGTCTCCCATAACCAACAGGTTTTCTGGCGAGCTGACATCTACCAATTGCTCAGTGAACATGTCCCAGAATTCCCGCTTCCGGCGTACATCCTCTGCGGCATCCTGAACTAAACTAGGAGCATAAGCACAGTAAACGAGAAGTGGTTTAGGAGAGGTATTGATCTCGACTGAGCACAACCGAGGGCTAATGGGTAAGAAGGACTTAACGTACGGACGGAGCTCAGGGGAAACAATGAACCCAACACCATGGTTGGGCGAAGTTGGGGCAGCACTGTGGAGGACCAGAAACCCTGACTTAGAGAACTCCTGGGGGTTAGATGCGTGTGTTTCCTGCATTGCAAGCAAGTGAACCGATTGCTTCTGCATGAAGGAAAAGATTTGGTCATATTTTGCAATCTCGCGAAGCCCCTCAACGTTCCACGACGCCAGGCGGAGTGACCGAGCAAAGAGCTTACAAGGCGCGACTGCCGACGACAACACGAGTCGACAAAGCGACGCATTGTTGGCTTGATGCTGATGAGGCTTGATCTGTTTTCGAGTTCGTTCGTAAACTGCTGCACGCGGCTGTGGCGGGGGGGGCATCAAAAAGGGGTGGTCAGCCTTACCATTACCCCAGCCCTTGGAATGTGCACGGTATGACCTTCTAGCCTCTGCTCGAGAGCTTCTGTATTTCAGTAGCCTTCTGTCTACTGCTTCCGCACTGCGGAAACCCCTATGACTATGTCCCCCGAAAGCATTGCGGTTTTCGCTGCCGCTCGTCGTAACTCGAAGAGATGAGATAACTGAATGGAGGAGTGGATCAGCATGACGACGGCGGCATCCCGGCTCACCCCGACTGGAGGTAACCGCTTTCCGTAGGCTGTAATACATCTTTGGAGAAGAATACGAATCGGAACAAAAGACATAGTATATACCTCGTCTATAGACGAAAGCCTCAAAACAGTCAGAATACTCAACAAACTTAAACACCTTCATTCCGTTGTAAAGATTAGTACAAGTCTGCCACATTCGCGATTTGTAGTGCGGCTTCTGCCAGTCACGGATTGTGTACCAATTGCCGCGGAGAGAATGCATTATCCTGTTTCGCTTCTTTCGAGAGCAGTAATCATTCAAACAAACGGAGCGTGTTGCTGCTGAGATCCGCGTGGCCGCGGCGTGCCATTTACACGCCGCGCCAGAAAAAAGGATGGGCATGCGAATGCGCTGGCCACTCCGCCCCTCCAGGGCAAGTAGCCTCACTGTCGTAACCGTATGTGCATAAGACTGAAGCCGTTCTCTAATAACCGTATTTGGCGCGCCTAACCGTATCTGCATCATAGGTGCAAGCGCATTAGACTGAAGCCGCATGCTCATAGCCGTATCTGGTGCATCTAACCGTATCTGCATCATAGGTGCGGGTAAGCTGTAAAGGAGCATACATAGACTGAGCGAAAGATATAGTCACCAATCACGCTGGTATTGATAACGTCTGGGCTGCCTGTGCTGGGAGGGGCTGCGATCCCGAACGTCGCGGCGATCATCACGAACATCTCTGCGAGCATCACGAACATCTCGGAAACCTCTCCGATCTTGATGTCGGTAAAACCGCTCGTCTGAGCCAAAGTCCTCATCATACTCCTCCCGATGATTGCTGGCTCGTCTGCGGTTATCTCGAGAGCCCTGGAATTCCATGTCCACATCCCTGTCTCGCATCTGCGGATCATGAAAAGTGGAGCTGCCTCTTCCTTTGCCGCTCTTCCCTTTACCCTTCGCGTAACCCTTGCGCTTGTCTCCACCATGAGATCCCACACCCGGCCCGTAGTCTGCAGGGTTGGTGCCGCGAGCAAACTGCGCGGAATTGACGACCTGACCCAGCCCTCCATACCCCTTGTGAATAAATCCGGGGTCTGTCCTCAACTTATCTGCCAGCGCGGGGTCCAGAACATTGTGCTCGATAGAATACGGGAACATGTGGAAGGCCTCCTCTGGGCCGACATTGGAGTAGTCGAATGATGATGTGTGATGGAATCGAGCCAGTGTGGTTGTGTGTGTGTGTGCTGGCGTGAGTAATTGCCTGCAGGAGTATGAGTGTACTCATCATGCGCTCATTGAAATGACGTCCAAAGGATGACTGTAGCGAGGTCACAAGATTGGGCTGGACAAGCAGAATGCATCGAAACTCCCCTCGGAAAGGAAGGTAAACAACCTGCGCCAAGACCATATCCTCGTCACACTCCTCCGGGGTTTTTATCTGCAGGGAGGACAAATCTGTACGGAAGGAGGTGGAGCCATAAGGAGGTGGAGAAATGTCCGAAAGCATGTCCAGCAAGGCATAATACGGCTGCCTCTCCAAACGAGTTGAGAAAGGAACATCTTTCTCAACTCGTATCTTTCGATCATTGCCCCGGTCCTGGTAGTCTCGCCAGTACCTTGCGCCTTTCCGAAAAGCAATGACAAACTCGCGGCTTCCCTGCATTTGCAAAAAGACAACCCTCAGGATCGCGGCATTCGGGGAGAGAATGTGGGTTGAGCAAGATTGGACTGCATGGTGAAAATCCAGACCAGCCACCCCGCACAGGAACTGCAGGTTTCCCTGTATGGAAGAATAATTCGCGAACGGAGGGATGTTATGCAAGAGAACCGTGCGTTGGCAGATTTCGCCCTCAAGGTTACTCAACTGCATCTGGTGTAAATTCAAAGCTTGTAGCACGCATGGCGCCTTCCGATTGGACATAGCCGTCACGGCATCCGCTAACATGTTGAAACTGGGCTGCACATGACGCTCATGATAAAATTTGATTGCAGAGTCCAATGTGTCCCCGGTCATTTCCCTCTGCTTGAAATCCTCAGCCAGAGTAGGCGGGTTGTCGGGCGCGGGAATTTCGGCTGTATGAAACTCCATAAACTCTCCTGACGGCGTGAGCCGTGCAGCCTTTGATTGCCGCTTGAATCGTTGAAGAGCTGCCTTAACTTCAGGACGTTTCTCGAGTTCCCGCCGATAGTTTGGATCCATGTCACCCCATTCCAGACTGGAATAATCAACCTCCTCCTCTTTGATGGGTCCTGCGGGCGCTGTGCCTGTAATTTGACTAATGTCAGATAAGTTGGACACTGCAGCGCGTTTCTTAACCTCGAACATCGCATCAACAATCATGGACGTGGTGAGTTCCCGTTTCTCTGAACCATCAGGGAGACGATGTACCAAGAAGATTTGATCGTCCGGGTGATATTCCACTGAAACTGATGAGGAAATCATTTGCACTCGCGTGGCTTTTTCATGTGGTTGCGCTCCGGCTTCATTCATTGCTTCAAAGTAGGTGCTAGGCTCTTGACTGCCTACGGTGCTTGAGCCTTTTTACCCTCGGATATATATATATATATCTCTTAGGGCCATATAGTGCGACTACAATTGTGGTTCTGAGCACCCATGAACCTCCAAGTATTAACTTCGTGAGTTCATGTAGTATTTTGTAGAACCAAAGCTAATTGGATCTGCAGCTTGTGCTTCTGAGCTTCATCATTTGGTGTTCCTCCTGTGTTGCAACTCAGTCCCATGGGAGCCTATGGCTCCAGAACACTGAAACCTACGGTCTGGGACAGCGTGGGAAGCTGAGATCAGCAGCTCATTATATATTTCTTGCAATTGCAAACACTGGTAGCTGCTAGTAGCTCCTGTGGCAACGTGCCATACTGCAATTTGTGGCCCAGCTTCGACCGACCCCCTGCTGCAAAGGCCATGGCTGCCGAGATTGAAGAAGCAGCTCTCCAAGAAAGATCGCAAGCGCCTCAAGGCGGAGAAGAAGAAAAACCCTCTGGTCGTCAGAAAGATGGACAAAAACGGAAAGGAGGGAGTGTCCCCTGGTCAGCACTTCTGGGGCTTGCAATAGTATGCCAGGGGTTCAATGGGTTCAATGTCTTGGCTCAGCAAAGTCATTTGCAAACCCGAAAGACAACATCATCTTTCCAGCTGTCTAGGGAACATAACCTTGCCTAGGACTCTAAGGGGTGAGACAGTACGTCGAGGTCTTCTCTTTTTCAGCTTCTGGTTCGGCTTGTGTTCGGGTCACAGCTTGTCGGGCTGATTGGGTTCGGAGCAGGTACTGCACATTCAGGACCCAAGGCTAGAAACCTGAGAACTGGCACGGCCCCCTAAACCCACCTTCCTTCCCAAGGACTGGTATCCCAGCCAGTCTCAGGGCCTCGCAAACTTACCCAGTGGCCTTCGGAGAGACGGTTGCTGTGTGCCACGCGCAGCACCTGAAGGCATCCCCGTGGTGATTGCCCCATTTCTGCTCCACCCTATTTGTAAATCCTACATCAGACACCCTAAACCGCAAACCCTTTCCTAAAACCCTAGGCCTTATAAGCTTATATCTCTCTCTATCTATATATAAGACATGTATATCTACATATATAATAAACTTATACGTTATCTATATATAACATTAATATTGCATTATGATTACCATACATATATATGTATACATAGTAAGCCAAATTAAACCATAAATTACCCAAGCCTGAAATAGACCCCTAAACTGCAAACTCTCTTAAGACCCAGCCAGGAGTTTGGTCGGTCTGAGCTACGCGATCTGCTCTACGATCCCAAGGGCGACTTTGCACGAGAGAGTGCAGTGACAGAGGCTGGCAGTGGTGTGATTTTCTTTCGGGCCCCTAAGGCCTAAACCCTAAAACACCCGAGAGGCCTATAATATGAGGAGAATCGGAGAATCCCAAACCCAAACATTTAGTCCTAAACCCTATAAATGTCGTGAATTCTTAGAAACGTCTGGTGTGCTTGTGATCTACTACTCTTTCTGATCAATTAGGTAGCAGGGCCTCTTGATGATTGCTATCGTGCTAGCTGGTGTCTGATCAGGGGCCCTTCAAATGGCGCCATGCAGCCCTGGCCGAAATCAAGGAGTTCTTGCGTGGGGAGGTTCAGGCTGGGAGGTACACTCCCTTGCTCCAGTATGGGCTGGAAGACTGAGTTTGTGCATCGGCTGCGTGGGTTCTCGGGACTGAGCTCTTACAGGATGCAGCAGTACCAGCGGCATCTCAGTGTTACCGGCCGACTAGACAAAATAAACAAACCAACCCATCCAAAAGAGTCTACTAAGCTAAAACCCTAAATAACCCTCAACCCTAAACCCTCAACCCCAAATGAATTAATTTATAAACCCTAGAAACCCTAAACCCTATATACTCAATAAGCTTCCCGACTCAGAGGCCTCTGAATCCCCAGTAGCCCAGTAACACTATTACAATAAGGGTGCCTCTGCTTTCTGGGTTGTTGACTTCCTGAGGGAACCTGAACCCCCCCTCCCCCCCCAACCCTAAACCCCAAACCCTAAACCCTAAAACCCTAAAACCCTAACCCCCGATCGACCTAATGAAAGCCGAATAAGACTTACAAGCCTACTGATGCTGGTACATATTACACTAGCTAACAATTATTTAGATTAGAGGCTTGAGGGTTTTGGGTCTATAATGTATACCCCGCCCCAAACCTACAAGGTTTAGGGGGTTTGTCTAGTGTGATTAATAACGGTTTTCAGTTCAGAGCTATTTCGGAAGGGTTTGGGGTGGTACTACTTTGATTGAGAGAAGGCTGTAGGAGAAGAAAGGGTTCGGTCGAGAGCACATGATCTTAGGATGCAGCCAAAATTCGACCGGTCTGCCACTGGCGGCTTCGATCTTTCAATGCGTGCTTACACGCAGGTGCCGTTTCAGTTGCACCCCACCTTAGCTTCGCAGGCCAGAGAACCAGCGTGAATCACGCCCCTTGCGTGCGTTTTCGACTACAAATGAGCGATCTTTATCTTAACGCCCAAAACACGAAAAAACGTAGAAAATTGCTTTTTGGGGCAAAAGTAGCGTGAAAAGGGGGTGATTCACGCGTGAAATGTGCGTGAAAGCCGGTTGTTACCCGTGAGCAGGGGTTGTTTCCCGTGAGCGCCTGTTTCGGGAAATTCGCAACCGCGTTAAGTTACGAAAAAGGCCAAATTCGTGTGAATCACGCTGTCTGCGTGTCCTGTGCATGATGCCAATGACAACACGCAGCCTTCACTGCAGCTGCTTTGCCAACACGATTTTAATATGCCGACTAACCCCGCGACCATTTCAGGAGGTGCTTGGTGAGGGCCATTTTGTGTGCTAGCTGCTCCAGTTCTGCTATGGGTAAGAAAACCGATGTTGAGATGGCCCTGGAAAGGGCTGCCAGGCTTGCTGAGAGGCAGGCCTTGCTGAATGCAGCCGAGACTAGTATCGTCAGGGCTCACCCGGGATTTTCAGACGATCCTCATGAGCTTCTACCCTGGTCCAAAGAGCCACAGTTGGGGTCATGTACTCAGCTCTGAGACGTAGGCCCGTCTATCTATGAAAAAGCACTAAATATGTAGAGATCGATTGAATGTTCAATAGGTCTCACCTGATTCCTTCATCGCAAGACGCCCCGACATCAACAGCACTCTGCGAGGTCAGCAGCTACAGCTGCGGCTCCCGCTTCTGCTGCCCAGGTGCGCAAAGGACGTCGGGCGGGCTTCGCTGTAGTGTCCAGCTCCACCTGAGTTCCAGCCCATCGACATATTTTTCTGAATTCGCAATTTCTTTAATTGGCTTCCGAAGCCGGAACCCTAAACCCTAAACTTCCCTAAACTGTGTAAACCCTATCAACCCACCCTAAAGAAAAACACCTCATCGCCCCTTCACTCCGGTTATTCCGACATAAATCCAGAATGCGCAGGGATAGCAAGCTGATGGACCCACCCTGTATCCGGAATCGGCTCGGGCATCACACAAAGTAGAGAATATTTATATCATCTATATCTAATAAATATTATAATATATATATATATAGAGATATATCATATTATGCTCATAAAACCAAGACAATAATCACGAAAAAACTTGTACTAGGATTTGATAAGTACCCAGACTTGTCAAATTTACATTCAAGAAACAAAAGCTTGAGAATACTATATATATATATACATTGTATAAATATATTTATATATCTATGTGTATTTATACCTGAAGTTATTTTTGAATTATATATATATATACATTTCTGTATTGAATTAATTATATTACTTATTATTTATACTAATATATATTATATATATGTATATATACATATAGGTATATATAACATAACTAATGAAACCAATATAAATACAAATGTAAATATGTACATTTATATATATATATATATATATATATATATAATGCTGTAGAGGACATAGTCTGCTAAGTAGTAAGTCAATCTATTTCTATATAGTGTTTTTGTCTACGTTAATGTCTCTCTTACATATATACGTATATATAGTGAAAGAGGGAGAGAGAGCGCACATAGACACACATACATAGTACCATTTCTTCATATGTATATATATATATAAACTTCTGTCAGTGTATATAGTCCTACTATGATTAAACATACACAAGCTATATTTTATATATTTATATATGTATATATCTTACATTATATATACATATATATAATATAGATATTTGTACATATGTGTATATATATATATGTATATGTATCTAAGTGCTTTTTGTCAAGAAATGTGTAAATAAATTAAAAAAATATATATATATATATAGACGTCCATAGGTTATATCTATATATTTTTCTATATATGTAAATATATTTAGCTACCGCAACACCTGGAACTACATATATATATATATGTACACAAGCAACCCTATATATATATGTATATATATATATAGATACATATATCCATATATATATATATACCAAAAAAAGTGGTTGCCATGTTCAAGCAGAGTTTGTAATGTTGTGTATAAATATCTTATACTCAGCATAAGTATATATACATATATATATGTATTATACAATACAATATTGTGATATTAGTTCTTCGCACATACACCTATTATATATATATATATATACTTTATACATAGGCCTATATATATACATACATCTATAGATATATATATATATATCTTCTAAAAGAAAACTAAATAACAATTATTATTATATATATATACACATATACATATTGTACTTTGTGTGATGCCCATACTTCGGCCTCTTTACTTTGACAGCGAATGTTCTCTTCAACAAAGAGAAACAAGCACTGAGTCACCAGTGCTGCTGACATGATAGAGCTATTCTAATACACCCTGGGCCCTTGCTGCAGGAGCCTCCCAGCCGGACAGCCTGAGAGCTAGAGTGGCTTCGATGGCCAAGCCAACCAAGTCTCCTGTTGGTGTGCCCGAAACCAGCCCAGTAACCCCGCCCAGTAAAATCATCCGAAGATCTGACACCAGCAAGATGCTAGCGCTGCCCCCCTCAGCTTCTCACACTGAGACTGAGTCTGCCCACAGCACTCCTGATGGTACTCGTGCTTTGGCTTTGACAAACCAAGTCGCCCCAAGCGACACTGAAGCTGTTGCAGCGCCGGCTGCAGTGGAACCGGCTCCATCAGCAAAGCCTGCCAGTGGCAAGTCGGGCACGAAGAATGGAACCCGTGCAACTGCTACCAAAGCCAAAGCCCGGCCGCCCAAGGCCAAGGCAGCCGCAAAGAAGAAGAATAAGCAAGCAAAGGCGAAGAAGCAGTCCCGTGTGAGGAAGTGCAATGCGAAGAAGAGCAAGAGCAACTCCAAGGAAGGCACTGCCCCTGCGCCTGTCCGCTCCACCCCCAGGCGTGTGCGTGGAAAGAGTGCTGATGCCACGAAGCCGGTCCCAGCGCAGGCCCCCAAGCAAGAGCAACCTCCCCCCACCCCAGAGCAGCTGCGCCAGAGTGTCCTCGATAACTTGCAAAGATGTGGCACTGCGGACTTGGAGTCCATGGCTGTCTTGCTTGGGGTCAAAGGGGCCTCTGTGAGCTCGCCGGCTGTGCCCGCGGCTTTGAAGGAGGAAGCTCCGACCGTGCATGTGCCGAAGCCTGAGCAAAGCGTGAGGCTTGCAGAGGGGTCAGTTGACCTGGCTGCCTTGAACTTGACACCGGAGCAGCAAGCTGCGCTTGAGGAGAAGGAGAGGCAAAAGAAGGCGGCGCACGCGCGCTACATGAGGTTTTCCAGGAGCCTCTTTCGTCCGGGCCCTAATCCTTGCTTGAGGCCTAGTCTGGTGCTGCAACAGCATGACTCAGTTTCGTTAACCGTGTGTGCGTGCGTGTGCGTGTGTATGTGGGGTGTGTGTGTGTGTGTGTGTGCCTGCACGACCGGGGGGGGTGGGTGGGTGGGTGGGTGGGTGGTTGGCTGTGTGTGTGTGTGTACGTGTGTGTGTGTGTCTGTTCATGCGTGCGTGGGTGCAGGTGTGGGCGCAGCTGTGTGTGTGTGTGTGTGTCTTTGTGTGTCTCTGTCTGTGTGTCTGTGTGTCTGTGCGTGTGTGTGTGTGTGTGTGTGTGTGTGTGTGTGTGTCTGTGTCTCTGTGGCGTGGGGTGGCGTGGTGTGGTGTGCCGTGGTGTCGTGTCTTGTCGGTCGTCGTGTGTGTGTGTGTGTGTCTGTGTGTGATATGATATACTATGATACTATATATATTTATACTGCTTGAATTCATGCATTCATGCATGAATATTCTATCGACATTCTCTCAATATCACAGATGCACACTTTATCTTTTGTCTTCCTTTCTTTTCTGCCTGTTTATCTTTGTCTTTCGTTCTTTGTATCTCGATCTCTTCTCTCTCTCTCTCTCTCTCTCTCTCTCTCTCTCTCTCTCTCTCTCCCTTCCTCTTTCTTTCTCTATCGGTCTATCTCTCGATCGCTCGATCTATATCTATCTATATTATATATATGTATATATATTGTTTTTTGTTTTTATTTATCTTTATCATTTTCTATTTCGTTATGTATCTCTCTCTCTCTCTCTCTCTCTCTTTCTCTTTCCCGCTATCTCTTCCTCTTTCTGTATGCCTCTTTCACTTTCACTCCCTTTTCTCTTTGTCTCCTTTGTTTGATTTTTCAATTACTATTATAATATTTATATGTATGTTTTTTTTATGAATTCATATTGTATTATAAAATTTGTTTTCTTTTGTTATCTTTATGTTTTTTTTCTCTTTCTCTCTCTCTCTCTCTTCCTCATCTTTGTCTCTCCCTTTCTCATTCTCTCCTTTCCTGAACATGTTTGTCTTTGTATTCTCTTTCTCCTTCTGCTTATCCTTCTCCTTTTCTTTTTTCTCGCTCGCTTGCTCGCTCTCTTTCTCTCTCTCTCTCTCTCTCTCTCTCTGTTTTTTGTGTTTTTTTTCTTTCTCTCTCTCTCTCTCTCTTTCTCTCTCTCTCTCTCTCTCTCTCTCTCTCTGTCGCTCTCTCTCATTCTCTCTCTGTCTCTCTCTCTCTCTCTCTCTCCCTCTGGCCTGTCCTGGCCTTTCAGAAAGATTCTGAACATTCCCAGGCAAAAGCACACCGGAGGAGATCCAGAAGCTTGGCCACGCGGCCAAGAACTGTCTCAGGGCAGCACATTGGGGTACGTGTACAATTGTCAGACACGTGCTTTTGGCCTGTGTTTCTGCGCAGAGGTGTTTGTGTGTCTGTCTGTGTGTGTTGCTGCTCGTGCGTGTGTGTCTGTGTGTCTCTCTCTCTCTCTCTCTCTCTCTTTATCGCTCTTTCTTTCTCTCTCTCTCTCTCTCTCTTTGTGTCTCTCTCCCTCTCTCTCTCTCTCTCTTTGTCTCTATCTCTCTCTCTCTCTCTCTCTCCGTTTCTGTCTGTCTTTCTCCCTCCGTTTCTCTCTCTCTCTCTCTCTCCGTTCCTCTCTCGCTTTCTCCCTCTGTATATCTCTTTCTCTCTCGAAGTGTCTCTCTGTCTCTTTTTTTTTGTTCCCTCTCTCTCTCTGTCGGGTGTGTGTCACCATTGCTTTCCGGCAGCAGGCCACGACAAGCTGGAAGTGTTGCGAGAGCAGTGGGAGGCCAGCTCTGGGGACTGGAAAAAGTCCCAAATCTATGAGTCCATCCAGAGCCACCGAGCTGAGAGGAAGAGGGGCAAGCGAATCTGGGCCACCAGGGATCAGATCATTGCCAAGTACAATGATGAGGCAGTGGCCGACCGAATCATCCAGAACAAGCTGGCCAACGAGGAGACAAAGCGGACTCAAACAAAACCACATCCGGACGATCCGGAGAACGAGGTGCCTCACATGTGTGTGTGTGTGTGTGCATGTGTGTGTGTGTGTGTTTGGAAATTGTGTACTACTAGCATGCTCATCAGAACTTTCTCCTGCGTATGCTGGTGCAGGCGCTCACCCTCTATCTCATATGGGACAGCGAAGAAGAAACATCCGAAGAGGATGTCGTCATGCAGCAGCTCTTCTCAGTCCTGGACGAGGACTCTGATGATGGCCGCCGTGGTGGAAAGAAGAACAAGAAGAGTGGCAAGAGTAAGAAGCGCAAGGCAAGCTCATCCTCCTCCGCAAGCGAGGCTAGCCAGCTTAACTCTTAAGTTTTTTTGGTGGGGAACTTTCATGTACATTTTCCCGAATTGCTCACCAAAGTGTCAAAAGACTAACATGTCTCCACTCGTGCGGCAGGATTCCAGCAGCTCCTCAGGCAAGAAGAAGAAGAAGCAGAAGAAGGTGAAGAAAGGCAAGAAATCCAAGAAGCAGGGCAACAGGGGCAAGAACGAAACCAAGGAGCAGAAGGAAAAGCGAATGCAAAGAGAGAAAGAGGCAGCCCAGAAGGAGTCTGAGCGAGAAGCCGACAGAATCAAGAAGACGGGCCTCAGCAAGGGAAAGAAAGTGTCCTGGTCATGATGTGCGCCAGAGTGTCTAGGAATTAGCATCGATGCGCGTGACTCTTCGCAGCACAAGTGCACTGTGCCACTGTGCGATACGCCCTTAGAAGCCAGGCAACATACCAGAGCCTCTGCCGAAGCATATTCTACTACCACCCACCAGCAATCCCCAAAGCCTGAAAAGAAATCCCCCTTGCGTCGCTCCACTAGAGGCCTTGACAGCCATCAACGATGCCATCCTGAAAGGCCGCGACAAGCAGTCGAAGGTGGAGAAATTGTGCCTTGGCTTGGAGATTTCAAATGTTTCCTGGGATTTTGCATTCCATTGACTGCACCCTCAACCCAAAACGCTAAAACTCGACCGTAATCCCTGAATCCGAACCCTATATATATATAACCCGAATAATTATCATGCATGCCCACCCCCTAGACGAAACCCTAAATTTATCATAACTGTACTATATAAGATTTATATATATATATATATACAAATACCCTAAACCCTAAACCCTAAACCCTAAAGCGTATATACATATAAACCCTAAACTCGATCGATCTAACCCTAATAATAATTAGACATTTTATTGACCCTTCTAAACCCTAAACCCAATACCCAGCTCGTGTACAAACACCAGAGACTGTGTAAGCCTACCCCGCCCAAAAGTGATACACAGAGTTGATGTGCCCTTGGTTGAATATCATTTCGGTGAGGAACAAGGTTTTTATGAACTTATAAGCTAAGAAGTGCTTGCTTGTATAAAAAAAATCATATAGATCGATCGAGAGTTTGGAGATTTTTTGAGGTTGCTGTGGGAAGGTATCCTTTTGGAAGTGTCCGGCTTCGAAGAGATTTGGGCTTCGTTGGGTGTTCAAGTGATGAGGTCTAGAGACTCAGCTCTCATCATAACAGCGATTACGAGAAGTCCCTACAACCTACCCGCGCTTGTCGAGTTCCGGGTTGGGTAGAAAGTTCAGCGTTGAGGGCTGCCCACAGCTAGAACGGCCAAGCCTGGAATCTTGATCCCCAAACCCTAAACCCCTGCCCTGTGTAAGCCCCAAGCCCTAAGCCCTGCCTGCTTTGCAGTAGCAGACTTGTGAGCTCTCGCCTCGCTTTGTGAGCCTAAACATAATGTATATATTCATCCCTCCTATAGGCCTATGGTACCCACGTATTATATGTACACACGGAAAAACCCTGACAGGATAATCATCTGCCTTCCTCGATTCTAGTCTCCTTACCGCGCCTTTCCCCCCGCAACCCCCGCAAAACCAAATCCAAATTTCAAACCCCCTCTCCTCGCCCCCCATCCCCGCCCCCCTCATGCTTTCCGTGGCCCTGATCTCGCCCAGGTCGCAGGCCATGCGCGAATTGCTCCAGGATGGGCTGGATGCAGAAGTCGACAGCTTGGTGGCAGCGCGTGATGACCTCCAGACAAGCTTGGATGAGCAGGAGGCCCTTCAATTTAGGGGGCATGGGCTGGAGTTCTGGGAGACAAACACGGCCCCCGAGACACTGAACTCGAAATTAGCCTAGCCACCTTCTCTTCTTGTTTTTCATGATCATGCTATCAGGCGCTGAGACGAGGACGCCTGGATCCTAGCGGCTGGAAAGCCCAGAACGATTTCAAGCAGTTTTTTGTTCACAACAATTGGGTTAACTGCGATTCCTTGCAGTGCTGAAAGGGGGTGCTGCAAGGGTAGTACAATGATTCTCGCTGACTACCTGCTCGTGTCTGTGTGGTGCGAGCTCCCGCTCATTCATAGGACTGAGATGATAATATAATAGTGCGCTCTATAAGCAAGGTAGCCGGCTTACGTGAAATGAGGCAGCTGGTGCCCACAGTAGAATCAGCGATGTTTCCAGAAGCTGCCTGCAGCAGCTGCACATCGACTGTGTTGCACGTGTGATTTTGTCTCGATCAAGATCTTTCCAAATTAATAATTTGGGGAAGCTAGTTTGGCCAGCTCATGCGTGCAACCCCGTGTGATATTAATCGCATGGGCCAACCTACATACATCAGCATTCGGAGTTTCTCCGTTACTTGCGTGACGCCGAAAAAAAAATTCCCCCACAGGTCGTCCCTCTGCATAGTTTGGCGGTCGCTTTGCACAGCAGCCGCCTCAGTTCGAAACGGAGGGGGGGGGGGGAAACTGCGCGCAGGTCACCAGAGGATGCCATGTGTCCCGGGTTCTTGGAAGAATGCGATAGATGGAGTGGCAGTGGAGCTCCCTGAGAGTTTTTAGGGGGGTTTTGGGTTGCAGGCTTAAAGGGTATATAGGGTTGACGGTTTAGGGTTGCCGATTGAGGTGGGATTATGAGGGTTTAGGCGTATATTTTTTTGGTAGTGCTGTTACTAGGGTTGGGCTTGGGCTCTAGAGCGTATGTTTAGGAGTTTAAGCTAGCTAGGGTTCGGAAAACCCTATAGCAGGTATTGTTTTTTTTGTAGCATTAGTATGTAGATCCCTATACCCGAAAACCTGTGTTCTAGAGGCTCGGCCCAAATGATAGAATTCATGAATCCCAAATGCCACACCCTTTTCCAAGCGACTTTGACCGCATTGATAAATGCTCCACCCTAAACCCTGAAAAACCCCAAGCCGAAAAATCTCAAACCCTAAATCACCTCATCAAACGCCAAACCAAGGCCAGTCATTTACAATCCATTATAAGAAATATAGTCTGATTATATAATATTTATACTTATTTATCTATATATGTAATTCATATTTATAATATATATACCCTAAACCCGCCTTATAAATTAGAACACCACAAACACACATTATAAATGTTCAAATTCAGCAAGGTGAGCTCAGTTTGCGAAGGTGATCGGGACATCAAGGCCCATGTCGAGGAAACCTTGGCTTTTCAAACAGCGCTAGATATAGTGCATAGCGCTATCGACGATAAAATTATCTATATATTGTTGGGGTACCGGGTCAATATTATTTTGTGAGCTCTTCTCGGTTTACCGTTTTATTTCTGTTACCCCGTGGAGCACAGTTTTGGGTTTAGGTTTTTAGCTTTCGGGGTCTGATCAAACTCTCTCTCGTCGGTGCCTAAATAGATTATGAATTTGGACCCTGCACTGGATACCTGAACCCTGATAAACCCCTAAGCCATGACCCGCTCCCTGATGCAGGACTCTGGGGCAAGGTCTCGGGTTGTCCCAGCGGCTGGGCATGTATTCCGGAGGCAACAGCGCCCCGCGACTTCTGGAAGGCACTGAAGATTCCAATCGATCCTGGTTAATAGCAAGGCATGCCATAGCAGTTCAGAAAGCCTTCTATTTCTGTTGGAAGATTTCTAGTGCTGCTCAGCTTTGTTTCCCCCCCCCCCCCCCCCCTTCAGCCCCCCCCCCCCCGCCCCCCTCCCCCCCCACTCCCCCCCCCCCCCCCCCCCCCCCCCCCCCCTTCCCCCCTGCCCCCCCCCTCCCCCCCCTTCCCCCCTCCCCCACCCCCCTCCCCCCCAAGTTGGGCCTCAAGGCCTCAAGGCTACAGCCCCGCAAGAGAGCAGAAGGATTTCGAGCAAATAAGGCCTGAAGAACACATTCACATAACATTTCAAGCCCAAAACCCTATAATGCCCGAAACTGTACTCCCCAATGCTTCATCTGGCTTTTTCTGAGCATGACAGCTTGTCACACCAGTCTTAAGCAGATTCGACGGGGAGACGCAGGGAGAGAGAGAGAGAGAGAGATATATACAAAAAAACAATAAAAGAAAAACATCATTATATTATCTAGATAGATATATACATACATATAATATATATATATATATACATCTATTTTCTTGTATATATATATATATATGTACACTTACATGCAGGTGTATATATATATTATATTATATAAGAAAAAGAAAACACTAATATATATAATATATTATAACATATATACAAGAAAGAAAAACAAAGAACGTGACAGCTCTAGATTTATTCGTCCTTGCATTCGCATGTAGTTCCCGTATGCATATATATGTTTATAAATATATATATATATATACCCTGTATAATGTATATGTATATATCACTATATATACATATATATGTATGTATATATATGTTTCTTTTTACTTCTCGAGATCTTGATATTCTTCAGACTTCTACCGTCATAGAACGAACTGTGAACTTCCTGCCTTAAACTATATAGAAATATAATATTAACATATACCCCCCCCCCCCTACCCTACACCCTTCAGACTTACCGCCCAGAAATTTTCTTCCCCAAGCCCTATGTATATATATGTATAGTTCGTGTGGATACATATCCATGTATATCTAGACTTTATAAATAAATATATCGGTATCCTGGTATGTCTAGATCGATCGGCATTAGATAAAAGTAGCAGAGTCGTTTCAGATATGATCCAGGTTAGGCAAACAGGGACTAGGTTAGCATGGTTCCTGATATTGACTGATTCTCCTGTTCGTGTGACACGACCCACGATGCTGAACCAGCCAGTTCCCCCACTAAGGAGCCTGTTCAGATCTCCTTGCCCATACGCGTGTCTGAAACGGAGTACAAAGTCGAGTCATACCCCATGCTGGATGTGCACACAGTCATCGATTACCTGTGGAACGAGATTGGCTTGTATGTCGAGCCCTCGGCTGTGCAGGAGTTTTGGGAACACAGCCGCCGTCATAATCAGCCGTGGGCACTGGAGCACCCTGCGTCTGACTCTCATGTTCCACTAGGGTTATATGGGGACTCTGCCAAGATCACTACAGCTTTTAATTCGGACAAGGTCGTTGGCTTGTTTTTCAACTTGCCCCTTTGGCGTCCGAGATCTATCAGGGCTTCACGCTTCCTCATCTTTGCCATTGAGGAGTCGAAGCTTTGGGGTCCACACACACTGAATGTGGCCTTTCAACATATAACCTGGAGTGTGAACTGTTTGTTTGATGGCCGACGCCCGGCTACTGATCCCCTGGGCCGAACTATGCCGAGTTCAGACAAGTATTCGGGATGGGTTTGCAAAGACCAAACCAAGTTCGCGGTCACGGAACTACGTGGAGACCAGCTGTGGCAAAAGCAGTGTTTTCGGTTCACTGCTTCGTGGGTATGGACTTCAGCTCGGGTTTGTCATGCCTGTGATGCACGCGCGCACGGCCCTGGCTCGCACGATCGCTTGTACTATGACTTCGATGGGTGGGTGCCGCATGAGTTTAGTCAGGAACAGTTTTTGGCCCAGCGCATGCCAACGCGGTTTCTTTGCTCCTTAGCTGCATGCATGTTGTGCTCTAATTTGGTTCCTGAATTTCGGAATTTCCCAAGACTGCTTAATTTTTACTTTGCTTGGGTGAGCCAACGACAATTTGAGCGAACAGCATCCAAGGCCCGTACATGAGCATCAAGGGCTTCCACCCGGGACTCCTCAAGTTTTGCACAATGCATTTTCTGAATTTAGGGCTCCTTTACGTCGCTAACGGAGCCTCGCTGCATCTCGACCTCATAAGTATGCTGCTTTTTTTGTTTCCAGTATTAGATCTATAGAGAGATCAATTCAGAGATCGATAGACGCGCACACACATATAGAGCTGAATATTCTAGTCTAGTACTATAGTAGTTCTATATAATCTATTATGTATATGACAGACGCTTAATTCATGTTATTAAGATCGATGAGAGAGAGAGAGAGAGGAAGAGAGAGAGAGTAAGAGAGAGATAGAGAGAAAGAAAGAGAGAGAGGGAAGGAGGGGGAGAGAGAGAGAGAAAGACGGCGAGAGAGGGAACAAAGGAGACAGATAGACCGCGAGAGCGAGAGAGCCAGAGACAGGGAGGGAAAGGAACACGTGTTAACAGTGAAGAAAGGGATCACTCCCGGGACTCAAGGGATTGAGATTGTGTCTTGACTCTGCGCATCTGTGCTAATGTATGGGAAACCTTGTTCAGGATTATGCTGTGTGAAGAGGGTGTATTCGGTGACAACTCCTTGCCCATCAAAGCTCGCCTTGATGCAGCCTACCGCGATTTCCGCAGATGGTGCCGGCAACAGAAAATCAGCTGTTCCCAGCCGCCCTTCACTCCTGGTCTTGTACCTGGGATGTTACCTAGTATCATGTCGTCTCGTATAGTAGACAAGAACCCAGAAACAGGCATTGCTATGGAGTGCATATTCCACCGTGTTTCGAGGTGCTGAAGAAAAACGGGGACGTGCTTCTGACTGCAAAAGCCTACAACAATCGAGTGATTATGGAGTGGTTGGCCTGCAGACTTCGGATGCACATGGCTGAGCAGATGTGGAGGGACGAACGGGTGCCGGTGGCAGCACGCGCAATGACACTGGATTGCACAAATAATTTGCCAATGGCAGTAACAACGTTACTACTTAGTACAGTCTGCAGCTGCTATTCTGTCATTGCACGCACACAACTGTCTTCACCCAAAGGTCCTAATAATTATTATTCATTCCTTGAACTGCCCCATCAATGAACAAGATTCCGCTGTGACGAAGTCGTGCCAGCTGAGGACCAACATTGCTGCTTTCTTTGGGCACATGGAGCGAGCTGGACGCTACTTGTTGCTTGCCGGCAGCTACGCCGAGCCTCTGGAATAGCAGCTGCAAGGTTTCGGGTGTCGGGTTACTTCCTTTTGGCTTGCTGTGATTGCAGATTAGGCCAGGGCTGGTTTAGGAGTCAAGTTTAGCCACGGCTTTAGGATGACTTCATCGTCGTATGGCCCTCAGAGCTTAAGCAGAGCAGAGATTCACGAAAGTTGTGTGATGTTGGAAACTAGACTGACGTGCTAAGTCATAGATTCGAACCGTTCCTCGGCCTACTTGCAAGCAGCACTCTCATGTCATGTCAGGACGGAGCATCAAGCTCAAAGTATCTTCAATGCGGGGAAAGCCTTTTTCGAGTCCTACATCGTGCTGACGGCTATGAGTCTGAGGCAAATCGGAACCTGCATGCATGTAGCTATGAGCCGGCATCCCGTATTGAACTTTGGATCCAATCCAGACCATCGACCCTCCATGTTAGTGGCCATCTCACAACGGCTGCCAATCCCCCGTCCCCCTCTCCAAAGCCGATCCCCCATCCTGCAGTAGGCCTTTTAAAACTTAGGCTAAGCTATAAGATGAGAACCAAAATAGTAGACAGCCTCCTAGCCTCGCTGAGCTAGCTTATACCTATATACATACATACATTTAAAAAAAGGGTTAAGAAGCTGTTGTGACTACGTGGAGAGACAAACTCTGATTGGACGAGTTCTTGCCAAGGGCGACACAACAAGTATCTGGCCTAGTTTTGCGAGGCTTCAGAAGCAAGAGTGGCTTCTACGTCCCAAACTGCATGAGCCTTGCCAGCAAGACAGCATCATAACCTCCATGACCCATGCAAGACTGGACATCATCACGGCATCAGCTTAGTGCGTGTCATGTCACCCTCGAAAACTTCAGCACCAGGTCCTATCACATGTCCTCTTTGACACCGTTCGTTATCGAGCCCAAGCTGCACAGCTCATCCTACAAGCCTGTCAAACAAAGAAGAGATTGTATACGCCGTTTTCAAGCACCTTGCTGCAACCAAGGACAGAATCCCAGATTCTGTCATACTTTCCAAGACGAGGATGGGATGATGTGGCTGAAAAGTACTTGGGCTGCCCTTGAAAACATGCATGTTCATTGCAATATAGCATGCATCGACGACTCAAATTGATCTCACCCCTGCATGAAAACGAAAGCAATTTTGGGAATGGGTTCTCCTGATGAGCCTGCCTCACTCAGAATTGGCGATGCGAGCTGCTCCCCTACACAGATCTAGCTGGATCATTCGGTGCTCCAGGCTCAGGTCGGATCGGGCACACTGCGCGCACAAGTGTGCATCTGCAGCATGATGTGCAATGCTGTTCAGGCTTCGGGGCTTGCACAGAAAGATCCGGGGGCCTCTTGGTGTGCACTCCTTTGTAATGCCCATCCAAACCTCAATATCCTTTGTATCTGTCTGTGCCTGTCCGTCTGTTTTCTCGATCTAAGGCTAAATCTGTCGGCCAAGTTGCGCGGGAGAATGCAGGGACACAGAGCCTGACAGAGCCTGACAGGGCCTGAAAAAGTGATCTCTTCCTGTGGTTTGCTGCTTTCATGGGCTGGCCAACTTTTACCCCATAGCAAAACGGCATGCGTGATTCACAACGCCTGTTTCCCGAAACCGTCTTTATGTTAACGCCTGTTTCCGAAACCGTCTTTGGAAATCCAGGGATAATAGTACTAATACATGTAAACTAGTGCACGCTTTATTAGTAATATTATTATAGGGGCCGAGAGAAAGAGCTTGGAGAACGAAACCATAGAGAAGACTCATACCCCAATAAAAGCCCAATATAATAATAAAATCGTGAATAAAGCGCGCGTTTCTTGCCTTTGTTCACGCCTTTAGTATTATATTAATAGGGCTTTTACATGGTTAACCTGGCATGCGAATGGGAGTCATGAGTGAAGAAGCCGCACTCATAATCGGATGTCAACCGCCCGTCCTTTCGTACACCATCAATCTCATGACACGTACGCTGTTCACCCATCACACCTTGAGACCCTAACTCTCTTGATTCGCTACCTCCATCTCATAGAATCCTTACCAGTAGAATATTAGTATCTTGACCCTTAGAATGCAGTGTTACCTTTAGGACTTATTATTGAATCCCTGAGCCTTTTACCTCTTTTGGACAGTTGTACCGCCATGAACGCACCGCTCGTGATAATAAAGTGTAGAGAATATTATTACGGCGTTTGTAAAGAAGTGAAACAAATGCACGAAACGCCGGAATAATATGAACGAAACAACGAAGAGAATGTAATGAGCGCAGTAATAATATAATTGCAAGGTAACGCGCGAATTATATTAATAATGCGTGAATGAAGAGAACGAAGTCATGAACGCACAATTAACGCGCCACCGGTGTTTGTCGGAAGTGTGCGCGGTGAGTTTGTGCTGTTCGTGCCTTGTATGTTCAGGCTGCTCAGGTCAGTCAGGCGGACATGCATGCACAGCCTTGGGACATGTCGATTCCGACCCCCATGCCCTGCAAGAACCGAATTTTTGTTGATTTCTCGGCTTTGTCAGAGTATTGGGTTACCATGGGCTGCAAGGTGGCTGCATGGCCGAGATTTTGAAGAACATTAGTAAGTAATAAATTTTAGTATAACAAGTACAGCTTCTTTATGTGAATTAGATAAACACTCTGGCAACCTGAATGGTGGTATTCCATTTCTTTGTCCAGCTGCTTCAAGAATAATCTTCAAGCATCTTGAATTCCTAGCCCCACCTTTCTTGCGCTCGTGCCGCGCCCTCAAAGCGCCCTAAGCCTATATCCACCTTGGGAATTGTTTTGTTTATATCAAACCACAAGGAGGATCTTAAAAACATGATATTTTATTAAAGTACCCTCGTATGTCCCCTCGACAGTGTGGCTCCGACGAGGGGTCAGCCAGGCGGGTGGCAACAACAAAGCCCGAAACTTGGGATGTTCCCCCGTTAGACCAGAAGCTCCTTGACGGGGATTCTAGTACCCCCCCTATGAGAGTCCCAATTAAGGACAGGTAGTAACAAGGGGGAACATCCCTAAACCCTAAACCCTCAACCCTCAACCCTAAGCCTAATGAGGCTCTACTACTTTCCAGTCATGGCGAAGGGCTTGGGCCCAGCGTTGGTTTGCGAGCTCTCTGGCCTGCCATGGCAGGGCCCCAAGGCCAGGACTCTTCAGCAGGGGGTTTACAGGGGTGTATAGGGGGTTATTGGTGGTTTATACGGTGTCAGCAGGGGGGTTTATAGGGATAGGGGTGTACAGGGGGTTTTTGGTGGTCTATACGGTGATTTATACGGGGGCTTCTGGATTTATAGGCTTTATATAGGGTTTAGGCGAAAAGAACAAGTGGGAAGCGCGTCGAGTCGCGAAAAAGGTTCGTCACGGGTTCTGGGATGTTTAGGAGGTGATGACTAGGTCGGACGAGTCGTGATGTAGGGGCGAGGGCTCAACCTGCCGCCTACTTTGACAGGACCTGGGCTTTACCAGGGACGACTGGCCGAAGCTCAAGGAGTCTGGCACCTCCCTCGCAAGTTCTGGTGGAGCCTTGAGGGCCAAATCTTAGGGCTTAGCAAGAGTGACCTTACTACCTCACAAACAAAGGGCAGTGAACCTGTGTACTTGTTGGAGACTTGCAGATTTGCATGGAATTCCATGATAACCCTGAGAAGCGTTTTGGGGTGTTCCCTAGGTCTGTGGGCTTATACGTGGCCCGAACAAGGGGATTTGCAGCTGTCCTAAGTTTGCTCGGGGTAGGGCTTTGGGTTTAGTAGCAGTGGGGGGTCCCTACTTGAAGGAAGTAGTGGCTACAAGCTCCTTTCCAGGGCAAATCTCAGTGATGACTACCCATGAGCCTCGAGTAAACAGCCGTTAGGTCTTCGGGTTTGGGGCTTTTAAGATGTAGCCCACCGCTTCAACACTGGAAAGCCCTAAAGCCCCACCTTGCCAGCCTTGCGTGAGTGTGAGCGTCGAAAGCCTAAGCACCCAAAGCTTGAAACCCTGAACCCTATAAACCCGAAGAATCTTCGGGTTTCATAATTATCCTAAACCCCAAAACACCCTACAGGGTTTGTAGGGTTAGTAGTAATACCCGAAGCCCGAATTTTTGGATCCTAAATCCTCAACCCTAAGCCCTAAACCTTAAACCCTAAACCCTCAACCCTGTCAGCCCTGAGGCAAATGCGCCTTCGGGCAGCTCCCGCTGCTAGAAGTGGGTTCGCACTGCATCTCGCAGTCGCTCGCCATCGTGCGCCCAGGCTTTTTGTTGGAGAGTTTGTGTGGGGTTTAGGGTTTAGGGTCTAGGGTTTAGGGTTTAGGGTTTAGGGTTTAGGGTTTAGGGATGCAAAAGGGTTTAGGGTTTAGGGTTTAGGGGCTTGCAGAAGGGTGAAGGCTTAGCTTTTGTTGGTAGGGATGGTGTTCAGGCTTTTGGGAGTTTCTGGTCTACGGCTTCAGGTTTGGGGTTTCGGGCCGAGGGTTGAGTTTGGATGGTTTTGGGGGGCGTGTGGGTGCAGATCCCCACAGGAGTCACTTGTGACTCGAGCTACCAGGCCCCTGAAGCACAAGTTGCACCCATCTCCCGTATGAAGCCCTAAGCCTCTGCACCTGTGGAATTTCCCTGAGTTCCCCTCAACCCCTTAAAGCCCTAAGCCCTCTATCCTACAAATTTCCCTCAACCCTTACATCCCTAAATCCTAAGCCCTCTACCCCAGATACAAATCTGGGGATGCCTTCTCTTGGGGGCAGCCGAGGAATTACGTCGGCAAGGTGGCAGGCACGGAAGGCGGGAGTTCCTTGAGGCTTGTCGACTCGCAGAAGAAGTGGCGCGCAGTTCATCCTGCGGTTTATTTAGGGTTTAGGGTTTAGGGTTTAGGGAGAAGTCCGGATGCAAAAAGGGAGAAGTGGGTTGTCAGCCTCTGTAGAGGATGCATCTTCGGTGCGGGATACCCCAAGTTTTCAGCCCAAGAATGCCCCTGGCTCCACGGAGGCGCTACGGCCGAGGAGTTTGCAATGTCCCAGACACTGCTGGCAGAGGGGGAGGCCAGCAGTTGGGTGGACTGAAGTTTGGGCGTGTTTTTGTGGGGTTTAGGTCTTGGGGTTATGAAAGCTTTGAGGCCACAAGCCCACTCAAGCAGCTGTGTGGTCGCGCGATCTATTCTTTGACACGCCACTGACCGTGCAGCCGAAGCCAGAAACATCAAAAACGCACTGAGCAAGAAAAGCACTCCGGCCAATTAGGGCTTAGGGGCCGCTGAGGATCTGTATGCTGCCATGCAGAAGTTCCAGCCCACCCGCAGTGTGACTTGGGCTGAGACTGTGTGGGACTTCGCCTTCGTTCTCTATATCAGGTCCCTTCTTGTGTGCGTATTTTGAGGGTGCCATACGAAGTAGGGAACCCAGAAAGGGGCCCTAATCTAGAGAACCCACATGATCTCCTTCAGCCAAGGTCTTCTTAAGCAGTGCCCGTGCTCCCTCAATGCTGTTCCCAAATTGCGGTTCTTTTCTGGTGTGTTGCAATACGACTCCTTAGACTCAGGGTGTATAGGGTTGATAGGGTTTGGGTACCCCGACACCTAGACCCTAGACCCTAAACCGAGATCTTCCCACGCGTAGGGCGAGATGGCAACCTGGAGTTTTGATGGCAGTCCCCAGCGCCCGTTTAGGGTTTAGTAAAATTAAGGGTTCTAGGGTATTCGGGTCTTTGGGTTTAAGAGGGTTCACTGTAGGGTGAGGGGTTGAAGAGGGCCCAGTGGTTTCGGTACCCGGGTTTAGGGTTCAAAAGCAGTTGAAAAGTGTGGGGTCGTGGGTTGCCAAGGTCAAGTTTGGGGAGTATGGCCGTGACGGGATCACCTTGAAAGGGAACGCCGCCGCGCATGCGAAGTTCTGGGAGGTGGGATGCTTGAGAAGCGTGTGGTTTCGGGCTTGGGGATTTGTTCGGGGTTTATTGTGAGCGTAGGCTGTTCTCAGCGCCCGAAACCCTGAGCCCTGAACCCTGCACCTGCGTCCTCATCCTGAGGGACTCTTTTTTTCGGGCTCATGGGGTTTAGCGCCCAAGGTTGACAACCACCTCCGGCATCGGGCTCATCGGTTTTAGGAGCCCACCCCAAAAGATGCGAACAGTTCGGATTCGCCTGGTAGAAAGCATGTTGCGCTTCGAGTTTCACTTTTGGGGGCTTCCAGGAGGCCCTGAAAGTCCTACGCCAGCTGAGCCCCCAAAAGCCGCTGCCCGAAACCTTGAGCATGACATCCTTGAACCCTAAAGAACCCCTTCCTTCAGAGAACGCAGAAAAAACCCTAAGCCTCAACCCTAACCCTCTGGAGTCGAGAGATACTTGGTGGTTTCCCGACATTCGAGTGCCTTATTGGAGTCCTTATAAGGGAATCCTACGATTTGGGGTCTGTTATTTGGGGTCCCCTTTATGTTCGTAACCTCCCACTTTGCCTTAGAGGCAGAGTCTACCTGATGAGTGGCCATTTCCCTACAGTTTTAGTAGGAATTACCCTTAACTAGTAGGCATGACCCATCAAAACCTGTAGGTCACCCTAAACCCTAACCCTCAACCCTAAACCCTAACCCTAAACCCTAAACCCTAAACCCTAAACCCTAAACCCTAAAGAGGGTCCCAGGGGAGAGTCTTCTTGAGGAGTGGGTGCCTGACCAGTTTCAGAAGCTGAATGTTTTGCTGAAGGGCAAGGATCGGTTCACCGCTTCGGGGGAGACCGCCCCGTGGCCGCACCCTCTGTGACTCTGGCCCATGCGGCTTAGGGTTCAGGGTTGAGGGGTTTAGGGGGTTAAAAAGTTAAGGGGTTGTAGGGTTCAGGGTTTAGGGTTTAGGGTTTAGGGTTTAGGGTTTAGGGTTTAGGGTTTAGGGTTTAGGGTTTAGGGTTTAGGGCTAGCACTCGTGTTCATGCGGGCTCAGCTTGCCGAGGGCAGGCGGGGGGCCTTCGGAGTGCTGCTGGTCGCAAACCTCCAGACGCCGGTCACGTCGGTCTTTTTTGTTGCTGCTTCTTAGGGTTTAGGGTTTAGGGTTTAGGGTTTAGGGTTTAGGGTTTAGGGGAGGCGGAACCATGTGAAACCCATCTCAGCTGGATGTGCAGGTCAGTTTGTTCGAGAAACTATCAAAATCTAGGCCTCCGGCCTTACGTAGTATTAAGAGAGCAATGGGCGCTTGGCAAACAAGAGCGCCGCTAAATCTCAACACACAGCACTGTGCGAGTGTGCCTTGAACCAGAAACCTTGCACCTCTGAAGGCGAGTTTTCAGGAGCACAGACGGACGTGGCAACTTGTCCATTTCCCCATTTGAATCGACTTTTCTACGTTGTGCGGCCCCAGGCGTTTCTTCCCTTAAACACCAGGGCTGTGCAGCGTCTCCCGGAGTTTTGCGCTTTTGCCATGAGGTCGGAGAGCTCTACTTGTGGGCAATGCTGCATCAGATGAAGCTTTGCAAGCCGCAGCTCTTCTCTGCCACGCCCCAGCTGGGCGAGTTCTACGAGCGCATCGAAAAACTCGCTGGCGTCAAGAAGGCCTCGTCACTGGAAATGTTCTGGTTGTGGAGATGCACTGTTGCTGTTCTTGTTGGGGAGTGAATGAATGGTCCATGTAACAGCAATCGAGGATTAAGAGGAGGGGCCCCCTGATCTTCGTCTTCAGACCGAGTTGCTTGCAGGTGGTCAGTGGCGCCTCTACTTACGGCGCGTGGGAGCAATATTTTGTGAATCCCGAGTGAGGAATGTGGCGGCTGTCACCATCGTAATCCCTTAACTCGAAACATGAGGCGTGCTCCTCCAACGAAGCCACGGTCCCATTTCCACGTATAGCATAGATGTGGTGTCGAATCGGCAACTTCCCATTCTTGCTATCTGCCTTGTAACATAAACCCTTGAAAACCCTTTACGCCCTCAAGCCTTAATCGTGCGCTTCGCACGCGCGCACACACACACACGAGAGTACTCTCGAGCTACAGCGCAGCACCATCCTGATCAAGCCAGGGCTGGTCTTTGTGTCTGGCCATGCGGCAGCCTGAAATCGGTGACCCTAATCATTTCTTACATATCAGCGGCGCGGATTGTGTGAGCTGGCAAAAAGAGGCACTGTGAAAGTCGCAGACCTGAACTGCTGGCCCATTGCACGAGTCGAAGCCAGGGGAGCTCCCGTGACATTGTTCGTTGAAGAAAGCCTTAGGAAAGGTTTAGGACTTCCTTGAGATAGGACAATACTCCACTCATGTGTAGCCCGTACACCAAAGCTTGTCCTTACGAGGCACTATCGGGGGCGGAGTAGATGCTTGAGGAGGAGTGAGAGCTGCTTCATCCATGCTTGCCTCGTCGCCGCAGCGTTTAGAACGTTGATTTTTTGGGGGGACATGCAGAGAGAATGGTCTCGATCCGGCCGGCGACGATCGATGACCTACCTGGTATGCAGGCATGTAGCCGACTCAGCTCCAGGAGAGCCTGTGCCGCTTCAGGTAGCTTTGAACCTTGGGGTTTTTGGACATCTCGCTCCTGTGCACCCTGAACCCTCAAACATGTGCGGAGGCTCCCAAGCATTGTGCACAACCTACCGTTTGCTCCACTCTCCACCAAGTCTGAGGCAATCTTTGCTGCTTGCCAGAGAACTACCAGATGACTCTCCGATGCACTGAACTTTGAAAGAAAGTGCCTAAACCCCCGGAATCCCGATTCTTAAACCCTATAAGCCACTCAGGAAGTACTACCTCTACCACGCCCTTTCCTGGCCGCAGTTGCCACAAGTGGCAGCCGGGGCCTGAGATGCTCAGGGACTGGGTCGCTACCCCCTTTGGGTAGGGGGTTTCTAGGAAAATGTGTCTATTCACCGGGGCCTGAAGCTTAGTGTTTAGGGCAAAAAGAAGGAGCATGGGCACAGCTGAGGGGCCAAAGTTCGGCGCTCGGTGCCCGCCCGCGTTCTGCTCCCTGGGATGGGCACGCAGTACAGTAGCCTTAGAAGCCTCATGCAACGCAAGCACACAAGACTGGCATCCTAACTTTTAGTACATAGGACCCGATCATCCGATCGCTGCGGTCCCGTTTCGAGGTGGACAGCCAGAATCGAATTGTGGGCTACGTCCTCGCCAAGATGGAGGAGGAATCTCTACGATAGACCCGCAACTTCTAAACCCCAAGCCTTAACACCTTCAAACCCACAACTCAGCCCGAACGCGCAAGTGCATTGCCTGAACCAGGCGACAGTCGCCAAGCCCCAAACCCAGAACCTGAGCAGTCAAGAAATTCAGCATAATATGCAAAGTAGCACCAAAGCGGGAGATTGGACTAGCAAGCATAAGCGTCACAGACAGCCACAAACAAGAGGCTAAGAGTCTAAGAGGCTATGAAGCTGAATCAGTCCTTCCTGAGCAAAATCAGGAACCCTTCTGCGCCAACCCAACAACGAAAAAAACATCAGGGTACAAAAAAAACCATGACGGTTGCAAACGTCCATGGGGTCCATGACGGTTGCAAACGTCCATATGGGGGTCCATGACGGTCGCAAACGTCCATGGGGGTCCATGACGGTTGGAAACGTCCATATGGGGGTCCATGACGGTCGCAAACGTCCATGGGGGTCCATGACGGTTGGAAACGTCCATGGGGGTCCATGACGGTCGCAAACGTCCATGGGGGTCCATGACGGTTGGAAACGTCCATGGGGGTCCATGTCGGTTGGAAACGTCCATGGGGGCCCATGACGGTTGGAAACGTCCATGGGGTCCATGACGGTCGCAAACGTCCATGGGGGTCCATGACGGTTGGAAACGTCCATGAGGGTCCATGACGGTCGCAAACGTCCATGGGGGTCCATGACGGTTGGAAACGTCCATGGGGGTCCATGACGGTTGGAAACGTCCATGGGGGCCCATGACGGTTGGAAACGTCCATGGTTGTTTCCTTACCCTTATAAACGTTAAATCCAACCCCTGAACACCACCGACCGGAGACCTCACCGGAACTTGCAGCCCTAAGCCCGCCCAAAAACAACCTCAACCCCTAGAAAAGTGGCCTCGCTGCCTTGGCATTGCGCGAGCGCGTGCATCGAAACCCTGAAAACCTGAGCCACCCACACGGGTAGTTTTAAACATGAGTTCAGGTCCTTTTTTTGGGTGCTTGTTATATAGGGGGTCCGTTCCCCAAACTTTCAACCCTAAACCCGAAACCCTGGCTTTCTAAGTGTGGCTAGTCTGCTTGGCGGGTGGCTGCAAAACTTACAGAACCACCCCTAAACCCTAAGCCCCAAACCATAAACCCAAACCCTACACCCCAAACCCGAAAAACCCTAGACCCTAAACCCTACCCAGCTGGGGAGGACACGGACGAGGTCCATGGCCACATCACCTCGCTCGCGGTCATGCGAAGCCCGGAAGCCTGGGTTACTATAGGGTTTTAGGGTTTAGGGCTTCGGGTTCGGAAGAATTCCTGACAATATTCCCTTAGGGTGCCCTTTATCATTATACTAGAATAACCCCCAAAGCCCTATTCTAACTATTCAGGCCCCTATATTCGAGAGGGGTCCGACAAAAGGTGTATTCTTTTGTTGGCGCTTTTGAAGCAAGAGTTAACGTATTTCGGGGGTTATATGGGGTGCCCCGATTTCGGAAAATGCCAAAGAGTGACTGGCAAGGCGTAGATATGGCTGCTCGCCACGAGTAGGTACGTCCCTCAACTTGACTTTGTGACCACGCTTTCGTGTCGTAACTTGATTTGAGGTGGCAAGGGCACACACGCAAGGAACTAAGCTGCAAGCGGCGACGCGCCAAGGCTACCGACGACTTGGGATTGCCACCGCCCTCATGAGGCGGCCAACCGACAAGCCCCAACCCTCCACCTGTAGATGGGATGATTCTCAGTGCTCTACGTGGCCTCACTCTACTGTGGCAGCTGCCCAACCCTGAATGCCGACCTCAGCTTTAGCAAGTTGATGGTGCGTAGTATGGGGGTCCAGCAAAGAACCCCAGCGCTCTCCTCTGCAGGGCGTCCATTAACACCATGGAGGAGTGCTTTAACGCCGAGTTCGTGTCGCTTCACGCACCGGCCACAGCGAGAAATGCCCCAAAGCTAACCCCCGTAAGTTCCGCTGCCCAACAGAACGTAGCCTTCCTTTCAGTAGTCCGGCATCTGGAGAGTGGTCCGGCGGACCTCTTAACAACAAAGTCGTCGGCGGAGGGTTTCAGGCTTCGGCTTGTTTAGGGTATTTACATTGGATGTGGGGTTTGGTTAGGGTGAAAAAGGCTACGTGAGAACTAGGCACGCCAGACAACATGCGGATGGTAAAAGCCCCCGCCCTGAACCCCAAAACCTAAACCCTAGCCCGTTTGCACTCCCCCGCAAGACTTTGGGACAGTGAGTGTGAGTGATTAAACCGATTCAACCCCAAACCCTAAACCGATGGAACCCTGAAACTTCTTAGCTGTTGCCCAGGTCCGCTATACCAACCGGGCGGCCTTCTCCCTGTATTCGGAGACCCTTGGCTTCGAAATCCAAGACATAGAGGAGAAGTACTATGCAGACAAGGAGGACGCCTACGACATGAGAAAGACGCCGCTCGGAAAGCGACTTAAAGGGGGCATAAGGGGGGCCAATATGGGGTGCGAGCGCTGACTACTCCCAATGACAATAACAAAATGCTGCTTCGCAGCGTGACGATGGCGATCCATTCCCGGTTTCACCACTTGGGGGGCTTCAGATTTTTGATCTTCATCCGTGTCCCTTGCTCGCGACACCCTGGAGTGGATTTGCTTAGGCCTAGAAAATAGAGAACACACCAGGCGCAAAGAGCTACCCGAATTCCCCTGAACCCCAACCCAAGAAGGTGCTAGAACCCGCCGGCTGCCAAACCCTAAGCCGTTGTCAAAGCAATTGTCAGTGAATGTCACCCCCCTTTTTCTGTGACCCTTCAAGGGAGTGGGGCACCCGGACTTTTGAAGGCTTAGAGCTGGGCTGGAAAAGCAGGAAGCCAGCAAAGGCCGGATGTTTTGTTTGGAAAAGAGGGGTTGAGGGGGTCATTTTGGGGGGTGTTTCGGGGGCCGGGGGGTGCTGTCAAATGGAGAAGGGTGCGCAAGGGTAGCTGGTGTGTCGGGCTTGGGTTTCAGTAAAGGTCTAAGGGTTAGGGTCTGGGGTGTCCACAGCCCCCTGAGACCCGCGCAGAAGCCTTCAGAGATTTGAAAGAGCCAGAAGATCATGTCCCTTACGGACTAGGGCGGCGTTTGTGCACGTGAAGCATGTGAAGGATGAAAGCACCAGCTCCAGACTCTGTCTTGGCCAGGGTAGAAGTACGCAAGGCCCAGGTAGTATCCGTTCACCACATGTCCATTGGGACCACATAGCATCTGCATAAACCTCAGCGACAACTGTCCTTGCTGTGCAGGCAAAAAGAAGAGCAAGGAAAAGGAAAGAGAAAAAGAGGCCGTTCTGTGCCATTTGCGGTTCTTCACCTGAGAAAGTCCTCAAGCCTCAACCAGCTACATCATCAGCATGCGAGGGGGGTGAGTGGGGGGCCCAGCTGACTTGGCTAGCTGCAGCTGACTGTACGTGCATGAAGCCCTGAAAATCCTGAATCTGCTTAAAGCCTGTGCTTGTGAACAATACAAGTAGTCAGGGCTCGGGGCTTATGGGTTTGCCTAGGTTACGACTGGGCCTAGTTCATCTGCGACTTTTGGGCAACACCTTTGCACCGTTTGGTCTTGGGTCTTGGGAAGTTTGCCTCTTGTCTTAGTCTTCAGCAGCAACCGAAGCTCAGCCGAGCATGCAATTTTGTAAGGGCGGTTGGCTCAGTTATGGCAGAAGTGTGGCCAGGCCAAAGAGAAAGAGGCCGGTGAAGCCGAGAAGGCTCGGGCCAAAGCGAGTTTTGGAGCTTGCGGGTGGGGTAGTTTTTCGACTCCAGGGGGCCGAATTGCACCTTTTCATGCATGGGGTGTCCAAGAACAGCTGAAGCAGCGATCAAGAGGCCATCGGGTCTATATACCCTATAAACCCTAAACAGGGCTTTAGGGCTTAGTGCTTAGGGTTTAGGGTTTAGGGTGGAACAAAAAGCCGGTCTGTGGGGTCCCCGAGTGGAGGGATTTGAAGGCGGAAGGGAGGGGCAATTGAATTGGGCGTGTCGGCGCCAAGGCGGAAGAGCCAGCTCCAGAGGAGAAGGCAGGGCACGCAATGGGGTTTAGGGGTTATAGGGTTTAGGGTTCCTAAATCCCACAATAGCAATCCTAGAGCCCTACAAACCCTGGACCAGAGCGACTCAAAAATGGTTCAGAGGCTTAGGGTTTTGGTGGGGCGGGGGCTTCGAGTGCCTAGTCAACCTCACAAGCCTTAAACCAGGCTGGACTTGTACGGGCATTGGTCCAGGAATGGTTGCAAGAGCAAACAATCTTAGTCATCATATTGGGGTGTATAAACTCTTGGTCCAATCCAAAAATTGTCCTTCCGTTCCCCGCAGTCCACATCAATCCCAGGCCAAGACCTAAACCCTACAGCGCCCAAACCCTTAAAGCCTAGACCGCAAAACCCTCGTGCAGGCCGAGGAGAAAGCGCCCGGCGAGAAGGGCGAGGGGGAGACAGAGGACGCATCGGCACCGCACGAACTCTGGCGAAGTCATACGTAGGGCTCGATAGTCGCATGATCCCTGCAAGCGCCTAGTATCACCCAATCTGGGGAATACGTATATGCCCACTTTTCTTGCAGAGCTGCATAACCCTACTTGCAACAACCCAACCCCTCCCCCCCCCCCCCAAACACACAAAGGACCCAGGCGGCTAAGCCAGAGGGACCTTCAACCGAGCTCCGGGGCGCAGGACGCGAAAAAGAAGCGCAAGAAGAAGAACAAGAAGTGAGGAGGTGCTCTCACAGCATGCCCATCAACGTCAGGAAGGAGTGCTGACTCCTAGGATGCTAGGAAGCCTTTAAAGCTGCCCGGATGCCCCCCGTAGAGTTGCGAGTCTTAAGTTAGGAAGTTTGATGGGTTCAGGGTTGTTTAGGGTTTAGGGTTGTTTAGGCTTGTTTAGGGTTGTTTAGGGTTGTTTAGGTTTGAGAGAGTAGAGGCCCCCAGCACTTTGCCACGCATGGGCGGGGCAGCACATGACACACCCCTCAACCCCTTGAGCTCCGAGCCCGCCCTCCTTACAGGGAGGGTCGCCCCTGGTTATACCAAAAAATGCACAGCATCATCAGCTAACTTAGCTTAAAAGCCCCTTGGCGGTAAAAAGAAAGGGGCCCCTCTTGAGTGAGGAAGCCCCAGCATCTCACTTGAGTTGGCCGCTGCGTTGCCTGGAAAGCGGTCGCAAAAGCTTTTTGCTCTTTGGTGAAGGGTTGTGGCTTTCCTGCATGGTTCGTGAGGTTTGGGGGTCAGAGAACGAGAGAGACGCGTGCCCACACGCGCCCTCGCACCCAACCCAGCGCACGCACGGACGCACGCACACTCGTGAGCTCCGCAGAGGGCCTATAAGGGGTGAGCCACCATGAAGGACTGGCCAAACTGTTGTCACTATGTACGTCAGTAGGTCCTCGCCAAAGAGAGCTTCCGAGGCGCGACACATCTCAAAGAGAGCACTTCAAGCTCCTCTTTTCGCCGGACTTGGCTCTCAGGAGAGAGGTTCCTAGTATAGGGCCGCAGCAGAGGGCCGACGCTGTTTGCGGAAGGTGCGGGGATGCCTCGGATGTGGTGCTTTGGGCTTCGGGTGGTTGAGGGTCAAGTTCAAAGGCTTCCCTTCACGTTTGAGTCCTTGAGGTGTTGCATGAGGGGTCGAGAGGCTTTCCGGTTGCATTTGCGTACAGGGCTTCAGGATTCAGAGTTGTGCCCATGTTGGGGCCTTTAAGAGGTGAGTTACTTCTTCTTGCAGCAGTCAATGTAGGGGCCACAGTCATCAGAATAGGGTTTTTGGGGGCCATTATAGCATCGTTGTGTAGGGACCATCAGGGAAGATTATCAGTAAGTATTACAGCGGGTGTCCTGTGTTGTACCGTGCAAGGGTCACAGTGCCTCTGGAAGCAGCCATGTCGCCATCGCAGCCGTTCGGGCTTATATTTCCGCACAGAACTCGCAAACAAGCCGGGAACCAGGCCCGGCTGGTCTGGGCTTCGAGTTTAGGTTGGGATGTTCCCCCTTATACTAACATAACAGTCCCTAAGAGGGATTAGTACCCCGTATTAGAATCCCTGCTACTGTTAGTATAACGGGGAAGGGGTTCGTAAAAGGGCTGAGCAGAATTGGGTTCAGGGTTAGAAAGGCGAGTTGGGGACTCTCCCCGTTTGTCTTGCAGCCACTGCTTGGTTTCTACTCTCCTGTTACTTCGGGGACTGGGCACAAGGTCCCTGGCCTGTTTTCCTGACAAGTTGACGGGTTATGAGTTCAGGAACTTTCTGGCGAGGCCTTCGGGTTGTAAGGTCCAAATTGGGATTGTGAGTTCAAGACATCGAGACAACGTTCATCTTTGGTGCCTGTTTATCTTAATTATGATATTGTCACGAAAGCTGCTGGCGTAGCTAGGCTCGAGTCCATCTCTGCTTTAGCAGGGAACCGGACAAACCCCGGTGAAGTTGCATAAGCCCTGATATTATCGGAAAATAAGGGGGGAAGGGGGGGGGGGGGGGCGGTGGTCGCTATTCATCCAGTCTGTTCAGAGAGGGGGTCGGGGTATTCCTCGAATCCATCGGTGATTGCTTTGAAGCTGCTTGTAAAAGCCTTTGAGAAAGGGGGGGGGGTGGCGATAGATGCATGGTCGTTGCGCGAAGGATCGCGGTCGGCATGAGCGTGTGTTCGCTGAACAGCACGTGATTCGGAGAGCTCTGCGGGTTTAGATCGATCGCGGTCTCCGCGAGAGATGTTCAGGGTTTCGCTGAGCTTATACCGCAAGCCCCGAACTGCCAGCAAGCAGGGAATCAGACTTTCCCGCGCAGGAACCGGGATACAACAGGATGGACAGCAGCACGAAGACAGCCCCTTGGGCCCGAAGTTCAGGGGAATCATGGCTCTTGAGCGGTCTCAAGAGCTTTTAGGGTTTAGGGTTTAGGGTTTAGGGTGCGTGGGGCCACCCTTAGCCCAAGAATGGTTGAATTTAGGGGTTTCGGATGCGCCCCACCAAGAGTATCCTGCAGTGCCTTCCCCCGGTGCGCACGCCCAGAGCGCGCATGCAACTTGTCCACAGGATGGAGTTTAGGGTTTAGGGTTTGGGGTTTGGGGTTTAGGGTTTATAAGGTTTAGGGCTCAGGTTTCCCTGTTTCTCCTTGGCGAGCAACCCTCCCCCCCAGAACCTTCGCACAAAGCTGTTGGGACCCTAAACTCCCTAAAGTCCCTCAGCCCTAAGCAGATAACACAAAGAAGTCGCGTTGTAATAGGGCTTCTCCCCCCGGTTTCGGGGCGTGAGCCCCCCTAAACAACCCTAAGCCCGATACCCTATACACCCCTTAAACCACATAAGCCCCGGGAAGCCGAATAAAAGCGCAAAAGAGCCTCATAAACCCAAAGCCCTTCTTGTAAAATCCTTTGCCCCCCCCCCCCCCACCCCAAAAAAAAAAAAACAAAACAAAACCCTAAACCCCCTAAACCCTAAACCCTAAACCCTAAACCCTAAAACCCCCTAAACCCTAAACCCTAACCCTAAACCCTAAACCTAAACCCTAAACCCCTAAACCCTAAAACCCCAAAACCCTAAACCCTAAACCCTAAACCCTAAACCTAAACCCCAAAAAAGAAGAAGGAGCGGGATGGCCAGAAGCCGTGGCTTTCACATCCAGACGGCAAGTGGTCTCCCCGGCCACACGTTCCCCGCGACTGCCCCGTGGATTCTTGGGGGCAAATTCTGGGATTTAGGGTTTCGGGTTTAGGGTTTAGGGTTTAGGGTTTAGGGTTGGCGGGACTCCCAGCAAGCTTGTCCGAGCCTGGGTTCAAAAGGGTTTAGGGTTTAGGGTTTAGGGGGGGGGGTCTGTTTGTATTGTTGATTCAGCCACGGCGGAGGAGTTGGGGTTTAGACTTTGCTTCCGACATTTCCGGGGGCTGAGACCGGGTCCAAAAAAACACTTCGGGCATAGGAGCCTCGTTTCCGAAAAGGGACTATCGAGTATGTAAGCGTAAATCCCAGAATGCTTGGCTTCCTGCTTGGAAGCAGCCAAGTTCCGGGAATTCGGCGGCCGGGCTGCTTTAGACCCTGACAACCTTCGAGGGGACCCAGATAAGACATTTCTTGGGCCCTAGAGAAACCCCTATAACCACCCTAAACCCTAAACCCTAAACCCTAAACCCAGGATTATGGAACCAGCGACTGCTGCGACTTTTGCTTGGAAGTCGACGGTGGGGAGCTTGAGTCGCCATCATCCAAGGCAGCCGCTTGCCTGACTTGGTGTTTGTACTTGGGGGGTTTAGGGTTTAGGGTTTAGGGTTTAGGGTTTAGGGTTTAGGAAGTTTACGGGCGTTTAGGGTGTAGAACCCCCAAAGAGCCCAATACCAGCCAAAATTGAGGACTATACCTACACAGTTTATAAGGTGTACTAACCCTGAATGAAGGTCTATACATTATAGTCCTACTAACCTGCTTTTTGCGGTTCTATACATTATAGTCCTGCTAACCTGCTATACATTATAGTCCTACTAACCTGCTTTTTGCGGTTCGGCCACCTTAAACCCTAAATGGCCCTAAACCTCGGAAGCCCCCCAAGGCCACCGTGAAAGGACATGACGGCGACCCGTCAAAGCAACTTTTGGCTCAAGATCCCGGCTGCGAGCTTTTGGGTTTGGGGTTTAGGGTTTAGGGTTTAGGGTTTATAGGGTTTAGGGTTTAGTCTACTACCCATATAGGAGCCAGTGGTTCAATAGCGCAGGTCCGTGCCGGTACTTATATACTTCCTAGGTTTCCGGTGTCACTCTTTGGGGCCACTCTTTGCCCCCATTTTTTTTGCACATCTCGGAGCCATGTTGGGAAAGGCCTTGTGGTGGACCTCGTGGGTCCTAAGCTGCCGGGCGGACTGCGTTGCGAAGGGAGGGGAGTGCCTGGACACGGCCCGCGATTCTGCGGCCAGCTGGGTTCAGATGAAGGTCGGGATTGCGGAAGCCACCAAGGCGAAAGCCACCAAGGCGAAGGGGATGGATGAGAACGGGTACTTCTACACGAAGAGGGGCGGCGACGTCATGGGCACCAACACCATAGCCTGGTCCGTTCCGCAGGATTTCTCGCAGCCCGCGTGGACATGGAACAACGAGCTTGACGAGCAAATCCGCCATTCCCCGCTGCTTGATGACAAGAAGAACATCTACGTAGCCGGAACAACGCGGTTGAGAAAGTTCAGCCCGGATGGAAAGATGCTATGGCTGTTTCAACAGGACGAGCCGGGCCACACGTCTCCCACCATGGGCAATGGAGTGATCTACTTTCGCGTGGGCTGTGGCCTTGGCCACAATCGCGTCTATGCTCTCAGCATGGAGACAGGCGAGGTGTTATTCAACAAGACCGTGACAGGCTTCGACTATGCTCATCAACACTAAGGACGGGACCGTCATTGCCTCCAGCTCCCACAAAGGGAACATGACCGTCATCCGGGATGCAAACAAGAATGGCATCATTGAGGATGATGAGACAACGGCATTTCCAACTGGCGTCGCTTTCCTGAATGGGCCTGCGGCTGCCCCTGGTATGCTGGTGGCTTCGCCCTGCTGGGGGCCCATGTACGTGTTCCGCCAATGAGCCCCGGTCGGCTGTAGGCAGGTAGGAAAGGAGCCAAAAGGGCAAGGGAGGCATTTCGCCCACGTTTGGCCATCCTGGCGTGTCTTCCCGACGCATCCATAACCTTGCAGGAGCTGCCATCTAGGAGCACCCAGAGAGTGCTCCGAATCGCCAGAGCAAGCCTGCGCCAAATGCATTGTGACATCTTGCCTCCTGAGTCCTCTCTTCTGCTTTGCCTTGCCCTCCGCGAGCGTAGGAGAGACCCTCAACCCTCAACCCGCAACCCTAAATAAACCCAACCAAAAACCTGACAAAGCCCCCGAAAAGATCTCCCTTGAAAGCCTCCAGGAGCAGATCACGGTGGCCCCGCTGCATCCTTCCAGCTTATCCTCCGACCTGGCATCTCGGAACCGCACTTGCTTTCCACTTTTGAACCCTCAATCACATAGCCTATAACTCTAAACCCTAAACCCTAAGATCATGCAGCAGAAGCCCTAAACCCTAAACCCTAAACCCTAAGCCCGAACCCCCCAAAAAAACATAAACACAAATCCTGATAAGGGTCGTGGAGGGATTGTGTTCTTCAATTTTTGTGTGTGTGTGGGGGTTTCAGCAAGAGGTAGCTTTAGATTTGGTATCGGGGTGGTTCTCTAAAAGAGGGTCCAGGGTTTATAGGGTTTGTAGGGTTTACAGGGTTGAGTTCGTATACGTATAGGATGTAGGGTAAGGGCGTTTTCCTTTGATTTCGGGTTGCACTTGCGGGGGGACGGAGGAGGGGTGAGCTTAAGACTCACGTTGTTTTGCTGTGGGAGCCGAAATTCAAGCGTTGTCACGCTACCCCTGGACCTGCCGAAGCCTCTCCTGCAGGGCCAGGTTTGGGGTTTAGGGTTTAGGGTTAAGGGTTTAGGGTTTAGGGTTTAGGGTTTAGGGTTTAGGGTTTCAACCCCTCGACTGCCTAAGGTGATCGCAATCCGGGGTTTCAAGCAGGCGGGGGAGCTGCGTGTTATAGGGCCTGGCCTTGAAGTGGTGAGGACGAGAGCACGCGCAGGAAGGCGAGCAAGAGAGAGAGAGAGAGAGCGTGTTTTGGACTTGTTACCCCTTGTCACCCCCTGGGGCCACTCCACCCAGTGCACCGTGCTTGTGTCACGAACACTCGCTGAGCACGCCCTTCTGGGCGCCCCGTAGGGGGCCAAGCGGGCCGGAAGGAAGGACGGAGAGAGGCACACAGGCATCTTCTGGTCTCACGCCAGAAGGGGAGAGAGAGACCTGTAGCCATCCTGCCTGACTCATAGAGCCATTGCTGCGCAGAACCGAGTTCCAGGTACCAAAGTGGAAGGGCATCAAGACCTGGGAAGATTTGGAGAGCAACCTGCCATCAGGGAGTGTTACCAACCAATTCGGGATCATCTTGCGAATTTCCCACAGGATTTTGGGCTTGTCTGGGCCCTTATAGATGCATGCCTTGCAACCCCAAAAACCTTCAAGAAAGAGGACTTCAAGCCCTAATCCCTATATCCACACTCAGGCCGAAGCATGAAAGGGGAGAGGTGAGGCTTAGAGAGTACCGTGGGTTGTCTAAGTCTACCCGTCCCTCCACCTCCGCCCGACCTTCAATGAGTACTCCCCCATTCCAAACCCCAAACCCTGAACCCTAAACTCTGAACCCGAAAGCCCCCCCCCCCCCCTCCTTCTCCCCCCCCCCCACCTCTTCAACACCCTGCGTGCCTCAAGGCATGCACAATGAGCTCGTGCTCGAGCGGCCCACTCTCGAGATCAACCCGCCCCCGTTTGTTTGCCAGCAAGAGCCCTGGCTTGAGAACTTTTTCTAAGTGGTCAGTTCTCGAATTATGCGCCCTTCTTGGGTTCTCTAAATATGAGAGGCCACCTTAGAATAGTCACCCCGAAAGGGAATCATTGTAAATGTTTGGAGGGTTGCGGGTCCCGTTGCAGAGTCTCAGTTTTCGCCTTCTCAAGGCATCGGATTGCGGCTCTTCCCAAAGGGGGGAGGTGGATTTTCGGACAACAGGAAGGGCTCGGAAGCGGCCGGAATCCGAGCGAATGTAGAGAAGTGACCAAATGTCGTTAGGGAGTTTTGTTCAGTTTTTTTCAGGCTTGTTGGGGCATGTTGGGGCTTTCAGGTGTAAAAGGGTGTTTTTAGGGCCAATAAGGTTTGTTCTAGCGCTGTTGGGCGTGTTAGGTTGCCTGCCCTAAGTACTAAGGGCCGCAGGCCATGATCATGAACGGAAGAAGCAACCCCAACCTCATCAGCACATGAGAACCGCTCTGTGAATGGAGGCCAGCGGGAGAATGTTAAGTGTCTCGCATACCCCCAAACCCCAATTAAGCCCATTTGTGAGGGGAGGAGCGGGCCCCCGGTCCCCAGACCGGCAGAGATGCAAGGAGTTCTTCCACGTGCCCCCTGCACTTTGGAGCTACTACATCAAGGACTCTTAAACCCTAAGCACTAAGCCCTGAAGCCTAAACCCTAAACGCTGAGCCGGCTGCTAGAGCCTTCAAAGACACGCAAGCCTATTCGTAACTGTTCCAGGGGCTCCCAAAACCCTCGACCCTGACCCCCCCCCCCCTCCCCCGCCAAGAACAAGACACTGTGAGCCCCGAGGGCGTTTGTAGGCTGAAGGTTTGCTGTGTTTATCGCAAAAGGGTTGTGGTTGAGGGGTTGAGGGTTGCGGGCAAAGGGTTTGTTGTAGGTCGTTCAGGCTCTTGGGCAATTCGCACGCTTCCAACCCGGATACCGCACGTGCAACTGTGGCTCCACCACAGCGGAACCCTTGATCATCCTGCTGCTCTCCACCCTCAACATCTCAACCCAAAGCCCGGATGGCGGAGATAACTTTGCACGGAGGTGTGCGGAACTATCCCAGCAGCTCTAAAGCGCACGCCCCCACCTCCGAAAGTATCCAGGAGTCTTCCTCTTGTGAGCCAGAATGCACTGCACAGGCCCTTACAGAGAGCAGGTCTGCACCCGGAATGCCGCGAGACTTTGAGAGAACGAAGAGCCTGCGAAGCGACACCATTGTACAGAAACCCCCGGTCTTTTCACCTCCTACCGCCTCACACCCGCCTTTAGCCGTTTCCACTAAAGTTGGTTCTGGAGTTTTCTGGTCTAGTCTGGGAGGCTCTTCGGGAGAATCACCATCCCTACCCGAAACCCGACACGCTGAAGCCAAAAACCCAAAACCAGAAGCAGGAGACGTGCGTCGCGATCGAGCCGTGGCTCCGCGACGTCCTACACCAAGGCGCAGGGCCAACACTGGCTGTGGTGGGAAGGCCTTAGTCCTAGGCAAGTCAGGTGTTTAGGGTAGTTGTCCTAGGCAAGTAAGGTGTTTAGGGTAGTTTAGGGGGGGGGGGGGGGGGCAGTTTTATAGGGGCCAATTCGAGGTGATTTTTTTTTCCATGGGTTCAGGGGGCCTCATATCAAGGGGGGAGATCCAGGTTTGATGCTCGAGCTCCGAAGCTTTAGGGGCCTTCAAGCATGCCTGATTGCGAGCCGCAACGAAAGTGTTGGGATTAGCCGAACTGAAGCCGTGCACACAAACAGTCCTTGTTGGTCTATCTGCGCTGATCGGTTGCAGTTGAATCAATGGAAAGTGCGCACAATTCTGGTCGGCGAGGACTTCTAGGACTGGCATGCAGAACTCAGCGGCTTCGATCGCACGACCTCGCCAAAGAGTGACCTTAGTACAACAGGTGCACTACAGGCAAAAACCTCCAGGAAGGGTCCCATTCACCCGACACAACTTCTGCAGCTGCGTCTCCTTTCTCCCAAAGCATCCTGAACACTGTGGCCATGGCGGAAAGAGCTACGATAAACCCCCAAGTACACATGCAACAAACCTTCTCCTCTGGCCCCCCCAGAATTGCATCGAGCCCCCACGAAGCCATAGAAACCGCAAACAATCCCCTGTGCAGGTTTAGGATTTAGGGCTTACCCTAAACCCTAAACCCTTAAGGGAGTCGTCAGTTCCAGGCGAGGGGTCGCAGTCACTGAAGCGATTTCTGGAGGTGCCCCGTGCGTTGCGTGGGTGTTGTGAGGGTTTAGGGATTTTAGGGTTTAGGGAGTTCAGGGCTTTGGGCTTTGAGGTTTAGGGAGGTCAGGGGTTTCAGTAATTTAGGGTTTCGGGGGTTTTGGGGTTAGCTGTTCCAGGGGCGGAGGGCAGGGGGATGTCGATGTAGCCGGAGATCTCAGTCTTGGGGGCTGAGCTTTCAGGTTTTGTTGAAAGCACAGCCTTGGCTTTCGGCTGCAGGGCATCATACTCAGTTCATTTTTAAACACTTCAGTCAGAACACTGCAGGCTGTCACCTTGCCATGCAGGAGGCGAGAACCACTACCTGCTGCAAGCAAGTCTCCACCGATAAACCCAAAACTCACACTGGGCATTTCCCAAAAGAGGGTCCCCCGCAATCCGTAGAGTAAGGAAGAAACTCAAGGGGCTACCTTAGTAGGCCTCAACCCTAAACCCTAAACCCTAAACCCTAAACCGACTAAAACCCATCTGGCCTCCTCAGGCGATCACACCTGACTCCTGGAGCTCTCCGGCCCACGACGTGCTGGCCGCGGGGCTGCTTCTTGTAACCATAGGCTGTTTAAGAGGCCTAAACCCTAAACCCTAAACCCTAAACCCTAAACCCTAAACCCTAAACCCTAAACCCTAAAGAACCCTAAGCCAGGGTTTTTCGGGCGGGAAGAGCCACCCAACAAAGCCCGGTAATTAGGTCGGAGAGCCCTCGACGGGGGAAGCCCCCACCCGCCCCGCCGTGAGCAGACGCCTTGCTTGGGGGGCTTTTGGGGGTTTAGGGGGAC